CTCTTTCCCCTGTTAATCATAGTTTGGGTAAGTTGCAAATACTTTTCCCCTACTGTTTTTATACCTTTTTAATTAAATGTCCTTTCTGGTAATTATTTTCCATATATGTGAGAAAGAGATCCCAGCGAATAATCAAATGATTGTTCAACTTAGTGCTTTCTAAAAATGATACTGGTAATGTGCCTCAATATTACTAAAACTCTTTTCTCCTGGCACATATAAGAAGTTAATAATCTTTTTATTCATGGAAATCATATTCATTATTCATGAAAAATGTTCTTATATGGCTAGATTTTTATGTATATATTTAGTTTCTGATGTATTTTATAATAGCAGTTATTCATATGAGATGTGTATAAATATATATAGACATATATCACACATATGTACATGTAGTATGGGAGATTATATATATATATATGTGATAGCTAATACATATGTATATATGTGTGTATACGGTCTCTATTCTTGGTCTTCATTTTACCTCACTATTTCACAGTTTCTTTTCAGTTTCTACACATTGGAATTTGTTCTACAAAATTGTCATTTTTTTCCCATGATATTGCTTATGATGCATTTTAATCAAAATTACAGCACTTAAATACATGTGATCCTCATTTTCCCATGAAATATGTAGATTCTTTTGATTTATATTGTTTCCACTTGCATACTGTATGTTTTCTTTTTTTTTTTTTTTTGTATGTTTTATTACTTTCTGTTTCTTGTGTATATTTGGGTTTTCTATTTTTGTAACTAGGGTAACTCAGTGAGAATCTCATGTTAAAATAGACAAATGTCAAAAATCTGTCGTATTTTGTATCCTACCATGACATCTTTTTTTCCCCTGTGGCTTTTGACTCATTAATCTTTGCTTCAGCTTTGTTCTACTCTGTCCTACCCAAAATTAACTTTATAATGCAAATTGACTGTGGCACAAGCAGGGTAAAACTACTGTTAGAATAAATGATCCACCATAAAGTCTAAGAAAGCTGTTTGAAGACTAGAATGACTTAATGAGGTAGGGGAAACTTGAGAAATTGAAAATCTGGAGTGCTCTTTGGAATCTGGAGTTCGTGTTGTAGATGTTAAGTCTGTTTCCTGGGCTGTTGCCAGCTTAGGCTGGCATAGAACAAGTAAAGGTGATGATATTCAGTCTGTTCTTGGCTTGAGGTGGCTTGAATTATTCACACACATTTCTTTTATGTGTTTGTTTTTTCTGCCCCAGATTTGCAGCCTGTTACTTACTCAGAACCTGCATTTTGGTGTTCAATAGCGTATTACGAATTAAACCAGAGGGTTGGAGAGACCTTCCATGCATCACAGCCCTCACTCACCGTAGACGGCTTCACAGATCCATCAAATTCAGAGAGGTTCTGCCTAGGTTTACTCTCTAACGTCAACAGAAATGCTACAGTAGAAATGACAAGAAGACATATAGGTATGTTTTTTTTCCTTATGTGAAAAACCAATGCCATATACACACAATGTGAGCATTATGTGGTTTACCACATCAAGAGATTGTGTGCAAAAAAGCCTGCCTTCTCTCTCCCACCTTAAGGGCAGTCATGTTGAAATGCACAGCTTCACAGCTTTTAGTAGATCCTGGTGATCCTTCTGTCTGCGAACTTTTATCTTGAGCTTCTGTTAATTTGGCACCCTCGATACTGGGAAGTCCTTCAATAAATATGTGTTAAAATAGCTTTACTCTGCTGAGCCTCTACCAGTCATAAAATTGTCATGTTCAGATTTTAGGGATGTAATTTTAACAAATCATGAATTTTTTTTTTCAGTTTGTTTACGTCTCCTAGTTTTTTCCCTCTTTCAGTGAATTCATGTGTCAGATCTGCACACTATTAATCTGAAGCAGGATATCTAAAACAAGAACGACCATTTAGTTAGTTCAAAAATAATTCATAGAGGGGCTCCCCTGGTGGCGCAGTGGTTGAGAGTCCGCCAGCCGATGCAGGGGACGCGGGTTCGTGCCCCGGTGTGGGAAGATCCCACATGTCGCGGAGCACCTGGGCCCGTGAGTCATGGCCGCGGGGCCTGTGCGTCTGGAGCCTGTGCTCCGCGACGGGAGGGACCACAACAGTGAGAGGCCCGCGTACCGCCAAAAAAATAAAAATAAAAAAAAATAATAATAATTCATAGAATCTCAAAATGTGGTAATCCCAGGCACCCTTTCAGCAAGTTGGTGAGGTAAAAACAATTTTCACAGTGGTGCTAAGGTGCTGTTTGCCATTTTCACTCTCGTTCTCTCTTGACTGTACAGTGAAGTATTCCAGAGACTTACAAGGCTTACGATTTTGCAAGGAATTAAACATAAACTCTGATGAGAATTCTACTGTCTTCTCTTAAGCCAGACATTAAGGATATTTGCAAAAATATAAAACATTGCTACTCTTCTCACTAATTTTTTCTTTGGTTTGCAAAATAGTTATTTTTCACAAACTTGTTTATGTTAATATGTAGTGGGTTTATTATTTTGATTTTCAAATGAATTAATTTTTTTGAATCTCAGTTTTCACACATAATATGGTAAGTTTGCATAGATGTAATCCACATAAACAACAGCTCTTTGGGTCGTCAGTAGTTTTTTGACAATGAGGTAAAAAATAGTTTGAGTGCCACAAAAATAACTGAACATAGTTCTCCTCACCTTAAAGTAACTTCTTTTAATAATAATTTGCTTCTGTTCATTTAATTAACCATCACCTCCTATGAGAAATAATGCTGATCACTAAAGAGTCAATGTGATATTGCAAAGTGCTAGTGGCTTCAGAGGTCTGTTGGTGGGCTCCATGTGGAATTTCTCAAATCTTGCTTGATGTATAAATTTTATATAATCTTCCTAAGGTACTTCCTAAGATCTTATAGGTGAGGAAGGCCTCTGAATATCTGCCCTCTTTTAACTAAAGCAGTTCTGATTTTTCCATGTTCTAATTAGGGCTCTGCATAAAAATTTAACAAAAGGTTTACCCTACCTTATTTACTTCTGTACGAAATTTTAGAGTGCTGTAATTATTGGATCATCTTTTTTTACTTTTGATTTCTAGTTTATTGGGTGCTTTTGATCAGAAACTATAGCCTGAAAAATCTCTACTTTTTGGACTTAATGTTTTCCTAATGGTCAAGTGAACAACTTTATTTTTTATACAAGTATTCTGTAGTCATTAAGAGAACAGGGCACCAGGTTCCATATTTATGTAGTAAATCTGACTTGTTGGTTTTTATTAATTTTCTTTTTTTTTTTTTGCGGTACACGGGCCTCTCACTGTCGTGGCCTCTCCCGTTGCGGAGCACAGGCTCCGGACGCGCAGGCTCAGCGGCCATGGCTCACGGGCCCAGCCGCTCCGTGGCACGTGGGATCTTCCCAGACCGGGGCACGAACCCGGGTCCCCTGCATCGGCAGGCGGACTCTCAACCACTGCACCACCAGGGAAGCCCTATTAATTTATTTTTGCTGCATAACATATTACCACACATTTACCAGGCTAAAACCACACAAATTTACTGTGTCACAGTTTTTGTGGGTTAGGAGTCTCTTCAGGGTCTCACAAAGGAAAACCAAAGGGTCAACTGGGCTGTGTTCTCATCTGAAGCTTGAGGTCCTTTTCCAAGCTCACAGGTGATTATTGCAGAGTTCACTTCCTTGAAGTTGGGGCGCTGAGATCCTCACTTCCTGCAGACTGTAAGCTAGAGGCTGCTATCAGCAACTAGAGACCACCTGCGTGGCCCCCTCCATCTTCACAGTCAGCAGTGAAGACTCTGTCGTGTTGAATTCCTGTTGCTCACACTTTGAATCACTTTCACCAGGGCCAGCCCAGTCCCTTTTAAGGGCTGTCACCTGATTAAGTCAGGCCCACCAAAGGTAATCTTAGTTTCTTATGGTCAGTTGATTTGAGAACTTAATTACATCTGAAAAATCCCTTTGAGCAGTATGTAGATTAGTGTTTGATTGAATAATTGAGAAGATAAATACACCGGGGTGAGAATCTTAAGTGCTATCTTAGAATTCTGCTTTTCACAATTTTTTCTTTAATCCTTGTATTGCTAATATTTTCTGTATATTTGATCCGCTAATATTTTATGTATATTTGATCTGTCAAATTCTGAAAGGTATATTAAAATCTCCCAATATAATTTTTTCTTATCTAATTCTGCTTATATAAATAGGGACCTAGTTGCCCCCATAATATATATAGTTTTAAAAGGGGCGGATGACTCTAACCTCTTGATAATTTTTATTACCTTTTTTCTTAACCATAGTGGGCTCTTTAAAGAAACACTGTTTATTATAATGAAGGCATATTAATCCAGACATTAGTTAATTCCTTCAAATGAATTCTTTTATTTAGAAATAACTATAATTTGTATGAAATTCTTTATTTTGCTATCCATTCACTTTTCTGCGTTGCTTAAGTATTTTTGATAAGCACGTATTAGCTTTACAAATCAGTAAAATCATTTTAAAAAAATACTTGGAAAAATGTACAGTGGTATGTTTCAAAGTTAGATTTCAGAAAAGCATAGCTATGGAAAAAGTCATCAGAATACTTTATGTCATTTTACTATCCTCTGAGAAGACTCTTTGACAGTCATGCTGAAATAGTAAATGTTGTAAAACTAATTCCATATATATTTTGTTTTAGGAAGAGGAGTGCGCTTATATTACATAGGTGGAGAAGTTTTTGCTGAGTGCCTAAGTGATAGTGCAATCTTTGTGCAGAGCCCCAATTGTAATCAGAGATACGGCTGGCACCCTGCAACAGTGTGTAAAATTCCACCAGGTATGGATACAACGATGTAAATAAACCTATTGTATCAACTTGCTGAGTTTTTCTTGGCTGTTACTTTTAGGAATCAGGAGATGATTTGCATGCTCATGTTCTAAAATCTGTAGCCCTTTTAAAATGATTTTCTAATAGTAATATTCTTTTTACATAATTTTTAAATCTTTTTCTCAATCGTAGGCTGTAACCTGAAGATCTTCAACAACCAGGAATTTGCTGCTCTTCTGGCTCAGTCCGTTAATCAGGGATTTGAAGCCGTGTATCAGCTAACTAGAATGTGCACCATAAGAATGAGTTTTGTGAAAGGGTGGGGAGCAGAATACCGGTATGAAATACATATTCGGTTCTTAAATTTCCACAACGTAATTCTTTTTTCTTTCATTCTTTGTATCTTCTGAAGTTCATGTGTATTTATTTCCCTTGAGGTTTATAGAGTCAGCAGATCTTTATGTAAAATAACAAAAGAAAGCTGGAGGCCTCTGGATTCAAAGCTATTGCAAATTCCTGTGCTGGCATTATGGAACAAAGAATTAAAACGTGTGTGGACGGGTACTGTAATAGAATGCAGAGTGTTAAATACCATAAATGGCATATTGGAAGGGTTATGTCAGTTCATGGAAGGAGAGATGTTTCACTGGGGCTGGGGGGAGGTAGTGATGACACAGGGTCTGGGTTCTGAAAGATGCCTAGGATTTCAGTAGTCACAGGTTTGTGGGGTGGAAAGTGATGATCCTGGCAGTAGAGTACAGTTCAGTTTGACTGGAGTATAGAAAGTAAAGAAGTATAAGGCTGGACAAATAAGTTGAGACGACTTCAGTATAAGGTTAAAAGGTGGAACTTCATTCAGTAATAGAAGGGAGTACTTGTTAGGTGCCAGGCACTGTGCTGTGTTTTAGGTGCAGTATCTCACGCCTTTCAACATGGCTAAGAATTACTGTTGCTGTTTTTATCCTTTCTTTATAAGGTTGCAATCTTTCTAAGGTAAAAAATGGTCCAAACTAATATTTATTTGGGAATAGGCTTAGAAAAGATTTGATAGTTTGCCCAAGGACACATTCTAAGTGGTAGAGATGGGACTTGAGGAAAGCTCTGCTTGACTCTTAACCTCTTCTCTAAGGATAGTAAGTAGCAGTTACATAATTGAGTTTTACCAAAGCTAATCTGTCATCAGGGGGTAAGATAGATTACGCTATTGATAAATTAAACAGTTGATTGGATTCCACAGCAAAGATAGGGAATACTTCATCAGCATATTAAAGAATGAAAGTATAAGTAAAATACTTAGTCTTTCTTCAGTTCACATTGCTTACTGTCTGAATGTCTGCTTAAGAAGATATTCATATAGAATAGTAATAGTACTGTTTCATTCAGCAGTTTGGGCCCTTTTTCAGAATTTATTTCATTTCATTTGAACTTGATTCCCTGTCTTAAGTTTTGTGAGGTGTATGACTTTTGTGATGGTGAGATTTGAGATCTACTGGTTTGAATACTTTTATAAATATATGTGTTATATATGTGTATCCTAGAATGAAGACTTGTCACTATTTTGTCCAAGTTATGTTAGTAGAAGAATTCACTTTTTGACTTTGCTGTAGCTCTCTTTTGTTTTAATCATTTCCCCTTTGAGATGTGATAACTTTAAAGAATGCTGAGGGGGTTTTTTCCCTTTGATAAAAAATTATCAAATTGTTAATAAAATTAGATTTTATTGATATTAAATTAGATTGATAGTTGATATTAAACTTAGATTCAGATAGTACCATCTGATACCAGTTTATTAGGTCAGACATTTTTTTTTTCTCTTCAAAAGATCATAATGTTGAAGAACATGGTAGAAATTCAGTGGAATTAGATATGAATTGCATAGGTCAGGGAGAATCCCATGTATATCTGTGGGTCTCCTGTTAAGACCAGTTTTGATTGGTAGAGAGAGCTACTTGCCCTTCACTCACTGTGGACTCTGCTGTTCTTTAACCCAGAGCTAATTTAAAATCTGTATGAGAAGCAGTAATATACAGTATGTTTTCATGGATAATGGAGTCAGGTACATCTACTTTGGATAATAAAGTAGTTTCCTTTAACATTTACAGATCAAAATAAATCAAATACCCATATATCTGTGAACTGTGGAACCTTTTATCCTTAATGACACTGGTGCGGAGGAGATAGATCTAATGGTTGGATTTCTAAAACTATCTTTTAGTTTCTTTACTGCCAGCTTGATTGCTTAGCGTAAAAATCAGGACATGTAGTAAGCAGGAAATACAGATGTGTAAATAATTCATAGTTAATTGAGAAATATGTCTCAGTTAAGTGAATTAGTACTGAAACGAATAAACAGTTGGGGGGCACATGATGTGTGTCTCAGACCCTGAGACAAGGGTTTGCATGCAAGACGTTTATTCAGGAAATGGAGGGAACACTGGTCAGGAAGGAGGAAGTAGGGAAGAGAGGTAGGGAGGAAAGGCAGCCAGTACCATTCTTAACCCATCTTCTCTAGTGGGTGGGTCACTAGAGCTGTTCCTTTGGAAAACAGTAAAGAACACACAGAATTATCCCACCCAGAGGGAAGGGAAACTGGACCTTTAAATGCCAATTCCTGTGTCATTGCTTGAGGTCTGTTCCTGGGGGTGTTAATTTCCTGGCACTTCTGATCTGCTATATATGTGGACAGAGCAGAGAAGTTCTCAGGCACAGAAATGCAGATGCCTACAATTGGAAATTGGCTAGACTAGAACACTGAAAATCTCAAGGGTATAGTGGGGCACTGACACCATCTGCTGCAGAAGACCACATCCTTTGAAATACAGTTTTAAATTATATTGAGCATGTGTCACATGGAGGTGAAGAGTTGATAATGGCCTTTTCTCATGTTTGAAGGGCTGTCATGTTGAAGAAGCAAGCAGACTTACTGACTTATTGTATATAATAAATAAGAACTAAAATCAGTATGTGGAAGTGACAGGATGTCATTGAACAATTTGCGATTCCCAGAGGGTAGCTCATTTTGTTTGAAGTACTGAAGGTGTTTCTTATTAAAAGCCTGCATGATTTTGCTAAAAGCGATGTTGGTTGTTGGCTTTGTCAGGGAAAGTTGAACCCCAACTCTTAACATTCTGTGATAAGCTTGGGTCAGAATTCTCTTTTGTTTTGATATACTTTAAATTTGAATCCTATTCCATTTGGACTTCATTTGCTATTTGAGTATCTGCTATTCTGCGGATGATTAATAAGTAGGGTGACTTTATATATTCTGGTTTGCTTGGGCCAGTGCTGGTTTATGTCTCTTGCCCTGGCAGTGATTATTTATAGTGACTACATTCTCTCTTATAGGTGTCCCATTTTGGACGGTAAATATAAGGTTACTCTACTAATTTTAATTTGAGGGGAAAACAGTGTTTTTTTCTCTTTAAAAGAAAAAAAGTCACATAAGTACTTTGAGGATTAAACAGTTTTCAGAATAGTAGATATGCAAACTTGATACTCGGTCAGAAAAGAATCTAGGTTTTAGTATATATTGATACAACCTTTTGATTTATCTAAATTCTTCCATAGCCATGTTATTCTTTGAATTTCATAATTATTTTCTTGCATTCTTTTAACAGAAGGCAGACAGTAACAAGCACTCCTTGCTGGATTGAACTTCATCTGAATGGACCTCTACAGTGGTTGGACAAAGTATTAACTCAGATGGGATCCCCTTCAGTGCGTTGCTCAAGCATGTCATAAAGCTTTGTCACCAGTCAAGTCCCATCAAAAGACTTAATGTACCAACTCTTCTGTCATAGTATTTGTGTGTGGTCCCCGTGGACTGTTTACTATCCAAAAATTCAAGAGAAAACAGCACTTGAGGTCTCATCAATTAAAGCACCTTGTGGAATCGGTTTCCTATGTTTGAATATTAGATGGGACAATTAGTGTCTAGAAATACCCTCCCATAAAGGAGGAAGAGAAGATTTTAAAGACTTACTGATGTCTTCTTGGGCATAAAACTGAGTGTCCCAAAGGTTTATTAATAACAGTAGTAGTTACGTGTACAGGTAATGTATCATGATCCAGTATCACAGTATTGTGCTGTTTATATACATTTTTAGTTTGCATAAATTAGGTGTGTGTGTGCTGCTTCTTGATTTAGGCAAGCCTTTATAAAGTTACAGTACCTAATCTGTTATTCCCACTTCTTTGTTATTTTTGTGTGTCTTTTTTAATATATAATATATATCAAGATTTTCAAATTATCATTTAGAAGCAGATTTCCCTTGTAGAAAAACTAATTTTTCTGCCTTTTACCAAAAATAAACTCTTGGGGGAAGAAAAGTGGATTAACTTTTGAAATCCTTGACCTTAATGTGTTCAGTGGGTCTTAAATATTCATTCTTTTTGTGTTTGTTTACTTACTGCTAAAACCTTATGGAAATTTTTCCAAACCTCTCCTCAATCTCCACTTTTGTCCTGATACCAAAACAGTGTAGCGTGACATCCATCACCAATAATGGTTGCACTGATACTGCCAGCACCAGTTAATTCTGGGGTACGGTAACAAATCATATGGAGTAAGTCCCTTTGTCTTACACCAGATTTCAGTTTCAGCAGATGATAATAGACTTGTGTAACCTCGCAGTCTTTTGATTTATCTTTACACCTCATAAAAAATGCACAGGCGGCAGTATAATTATTTTCAGGGATATGCTACAATTATTTCAATATATTTATCCTTTTTAAAAAATTCAATCTATAGAGATAAACACTCTTTAAAAAGGTATTTTAAAATATTTCAATAGCAAACCTAGTGCTCTTTGAGTTGAGTTTCATTTGATTTAGTTACAAAGATTGTATTATGAAATGGGCCTTTTGTAAATGTAATTGCTTCAGCAAAATACCTAGAAAAGTAATGCTGAGGTATGATCAGCAGGTAAAGGCCATCTGTTTTTAAGGTATGTTGTATTAAATTTATACAATCTATGTTATTTTACATAATTATGAATTCTGAATTTTAAAATTTGGGGGAGAAACAGTTTAGCAAGTTTTTTAGCTTATAATTACCTACACTCTGAGCTGTTCTTAACTAATCCTGAATATGTGGTGACTATTAGAACCAACCATGCATTTTGCTCTACAGTGACAGGAGATGTCGGAAACTGTTGGAAGTCCACCCTGCAGCAGATAATCCTTATGTTTATTGTTAACTCATTGCAGTTTAAACATTTCTTGTTTGCATCTCAGTAGAAATGGAAAGTAACCACTCCTGGTCCCCTTCTAGTAAGTTTTCATATTTTTAAAGACAGATTATCTTTGGTACTTGTTTTTTGAAACCATATTCACCTTTATCTACCGGTGTTATTTTCAATACTTTCAGCATTGGTTGTTTTCTATTAGATATTCCCCATTTTTCTATATTTGTGTATGCATGTATGTGTTTATGTAAACTTGGTATAGTAATTTTTTATTCATTCAACAAATATTTATTGTTCACCTGTTATGTGTGCCAGGAACTTTCTTAGCCTTTGGGTAAAGGTGAACAAGACAGATAAGGCCCTTGCCTTTGCTGAGATAGCAGATTCTGTAATGCTTGATTAGCTTATTTGTCTATGAAGGAGATAAAACAGGGTACTGTGATAAAGCATAGCAGGGGGAATGCTTCTGAAAGGTAGTGATGCTTGAGCTAACACTTCGGTGAGAAAGGAGCAAGCCTTGTGGAGAGAAAAATAGGCATTCTTGGCAAAGAAAATGGCATCAAATGCAAAGGCTTATTTTAAAGGAAACTCATAATTTACTAGGTGTTTATGCTTTATACAAAAACCTCTACACAGGTCCAAACTTGAGGATCAGATTGGTTCTACAGTTTATAATAGTTGAAGGTGGCCTTACTTTGTGATAGATTGCTTCATGTGTCATTCTCACTAATATTTCCTCTTCCTCAAATCCTTACTGTAAAAAGTTTACACCGGGTCAGTACCATTTAATTGAACAACCCTTTTTTCAGTTCTGCCTTGGGCAAATTTTCACCATTGTAGTGACTGGCTGCTTGCTTCCAGATGTCCTGCTGCCCGAAATTATTACTTCTGCAGCCCATCCTGTGGATAGAGTAAATGTCCCAGGTATTACCACAGTCAGACCTGTTGGAAATGTGGAGGTTCTGCCCTTTGGGTGTGTTTACTTTAACTAGAGGACTTGTAGTGATGTTAGGGAACACTGTTCTTTGTCTGGGGGTAAAGAACAACTTTGAAAGTGGTAGAACATCCTGCCAGTTGCTCTTGCATTGATATGTTAAGCAAAGCAGTGCCATCTGTAGCATTTCAGTAGTGGGTCACATCTCTACAGTTCTGGTGGCATTCTTCTGTACAGTATGAAACTGGGACTCACCTCTTTGGAAGCACCCATGTATTCAGCGGTTAGACCTGTCAAGCAGTTGACTTTGTGGTGGTGGTGGTTACATTTATATGAGTGTGCTCAGTGGTCCTCCTTGCTTTTTAATGCGATGCTGGTTTTGCATTCTGTTGTGGCCACTGTGGCCTAAGTTTTGCTGATTGTTTTTTCCCTTTATAGGGTTTGTTTTCATTCTTCTAAGTGATAAGATCTCCTCTCTGTAGAATTTTGTCTTTATTTAGATTAGCAACATCATTTAGAATTTCTTCTACACAGTGCTGGTAATTTCCTCAGTTTAACAACATGAGAACTGAATGATCATGCTTTCTATCACATTTCTAAGATGAATGGTGGTTTTCACAGTGGATTACATACACCTTAGGGCTGGTTTAGGGAATTGGAGGCTGGTGACATTCCCACTGACTTTGGCCCGGCCAGTGGCAGCTTCGTTTTTATTCTGTGTTGGAGTTCCACGTAGGAACTCCAATAGAATGATTTCTTTCTTAAAAAAGTTTTACTGCTTAAAAAAAAGTTTGACTTTCCTGACTAGATTTGAACTATACCAGTTAGTGTGCTAATTGTACATTATGATATACATTCGTTCAATAAACATTTATTGATGCCTGTTCTTTACCTACCCAGTGTGATAGATGTTGAGTAATAAAAAGATAACTGGGATTTGGTACTGACTCTCAAGCCATCTTAGTCGTGTGGGGTTACTTTCTCTCTCAGGACCTGTCACTTTGCCAGAAGAAAATCTGCTTAATTTTTCTTGAAAGCTATATATTCTTACTCTGTATTCTTACTCTTATTCTGTATTCTAAGTATATATTTGCAAATTGTTAATATCTGGGGTTTTTTTAAACCTCACATCATATCTAGTTTTGCTTGGTTCATCTGTCCTTTAAACATTGCCAGATATTCTTTGTTAAAATTATTTTATTGATAATTTCACTTTATTTGTGCCTTTATTGTCAATTTCATCAAGACTAAGATTTTGAACTTGAAAAACAATCAGTCTAGTCTCTTGCTAGTTGAAATCAAATAAAAGAGTATATATACCCAGTTGGTTTCTCTACCTCTTCCAAAAATTGTCCAAATATACCTTTAACATCTTTCTTTTTTTAAAATAACTAAATACTTTGAGCATTTACTCAATAATCAGTGCCCTCCTGGTCTGGTTGATGGTGGGAAGTAATGTAATGCAAGACAATCCTCACTGTACTTAGCATCTGTCTTTATGTACAGTCTTTACTTTCATAGCTAAACATTCCAGCTTCACAGTTTGCCACCCCTCCACCATTCCCCAGTATCTCTTTAGATAACTAAGTAGACTGTGGACCTAAGCAACCCGTGATCTTGTCTCTTACTCTGGTGCAACACGTTGAGGTTTAGACATAACACATTATTGCCCATTTTCTTTCCTTCGTGAACTTTAGTTTGCTAAGTCCTTTATATTCATCAACTGAATTTTATTCTTCCTTCCCTTCTCTTGACAACATGAACTTTACTAAAGACCAAAAAGGACGGTGCTGTTCAACCCCAGGGTCCTAATTTCTTCACCACGAAGGTTGACATTGTTGAGATTGGTCAGTCACTTAAATCTTACAAATGGCTCAGAAATTCTATCCAGTTAAATGTTTTTGTGATGATAGCATACATCGTCAGATTCTGTTGTAAATTATGTTCAGGATTATGAACTTTTTCCGGTAGTTGCAGCCAATGATTTCCTCATAATACTAGCCCTGTTTCCACCTTGGGGCATATTGGGTTGTTGTATTTAGTACAATCAAGAGTAATAATGATAGTGTGTGGTGTCTAGAGGTTGTCAGAGTCCTATTGAATTCCTTTTATATCTTGCTTTTCAAGTTTTCATAAATATTTTGTCTGTTCAAGACTACCTTTTGTGTGTGGGGATTGAGGGACAAATTATCTCTTGGAGTGGAATTCCTATGTTTGAAGCCTCAACCAGGAAATGTGAGCTATACTAGATATAGATAGCCTCATGATAGCTTTTATGATGAGAACTTGTCTAATGTGTTCATATAATTTCTTGAGTAGGAGCTGTTTTATCTTGGATATTATAGCTAACTTTATATATAGCATAACTGCCTTAAATCTTTTTAGTAGGAAATAAATTATATAATGTGTATGTATGGATTTATATATACACTCACAGAGAAATCTTAACAGTAGGGGGCATTTGCATACATTTTAACAGTGTTCAATGATTCTATTGTTTAAATCTCATATCAGTAAAAAAATTCTTAAGTTTCTTGCAGACATTTTCCTTTCATGGACAGACCATCAGGGTAAATTTTTTATTCTGCCAGGGTCCTAATTTGGCAGTTCATTTAATATGC